CCCCACCCTCAGCACCGCCTTGCATCTGGCCAGCAGGTGGTGGAGAGCACTCCCGCCTGCCCAGGAAAGAACCCTCTCCCCACTGGCCCCTTCGTGCACCAGAGAGAGGCTCTCTCTCTCTCTCTCTCTCTCTCTCTCTCTCTCTCTCTCTCTCCCAGCACAGCTGGCAGCCCTAGCACCTCCAACCACTTCCCCAGCCCCTGGAAACAGAGGGGTCATCAGGGCCCCATGGAGAGGCCTCACGGGCTGTGGCGTGTTCCCCGAGTGTTTCTCCAGCAGCTGGGGAGGCAGGGGGCCTGCTCACCCCCTGTGCAGCCCGGGGAGAGGTTCCCTCAGGGGTAGCTGCTCCGAGTCCAGGCATGGCAGGGAGGCAGGTATGGTTCCCGCAGGGCAGCACCCACCCAAGACCCCCTCTGCTGCCCACAGTGCCTCTGCCATCCTCTCCTACCCTTGGGGTTAGGGTGTGGGGATGCCTCAAAAGGAAGCCCACTTGGGACTCTACCTCCTCTCTCAGCAGTTGCACCCCGAGGGGCTCAGCAGCGCCAAACAGCCTGAAACCCCAGCCCCTCGGGGGTCCTCAGCCTTTTCTCAGACACAATTTCTTCACACCAAGAGGGTGTTTAAAGGGAGCGGCCTAAACTCACCCCCTCCCCCACCTCCCACCGAGGAACCCTGGGGCTTCTCAGAGCCGCTGAGGCCTAGAGAACGGGCAAGGCCAGAGAAGGGGCAGGGCGGCCTTCTCCAGGGTCAGCAGGTGGGTGGCAGAGCTGGACAGGCAGCCTTGGCGGAGGTCAGGGAAGGTTAAATGCCTGAGAGGCACATGGGCAGAGGCTGGACCAATCGCTCAGCTGCCTCCCCAGCCTTGTCCTCTGTCGGGTCAGACCAGGACCACAGCTGCCCCATAGGAGCCGTCCTGCCACTTCCCCGGGGGCTGGACCAGCCTTGGCCTTCAGAGAGCTCAGAGTGTGGGGCGAAAGTGGACGATCAGAACCTGGTGGCCCAGAGGGGCTGTGGCTGCAGGAGAGGCCCCTCAGGAACTAGGTGCCCAGAGGAATGTCCTGACCCCTGGTGACCCCCCGTTCTTGGCGTGGGAGTGAAACAAGTGTGCAGACAGCCCACAAATGTCCTGAGTTCCCTGGGATGGTCACCTCATGCCCACTCCACCCCCGAAAGGAGACGGAGTGCAGGATGGGCCTGGGAGGGCCTCAGGGAGCAGAAGGGTGGACAGGAGGACGTGCGGATGGATGGTGGCTGGGTGAGTGGATCCCGGAGGGAGAAGTGCATGGATAGGCAGGTAAGCAGGTGCCTGAATGCATCAATGCCTGCAGGCCAGGCGGGTGGACAGGTGAAGAAATGGACAGGAGGTCTGGCCGATGGAACGACAGACAGATGGATCTGTGCCTCAGTGAATGGGGTGGCGAATGGGTAGATGGACATGGCCAGGTCAGTCAAGAAGTAAAAGGCCAGCAAAGATGGACGGCCACGGACACTCCTGTCCTGAGACCAGACCCCATCACTGACAGGCCAGCTTCTGGGCGAGGGTGAGGCACTCACCTTTACCTGGAGCTGCGGGGAGGAGGTGCCAGGCAAAGGCACGGGGACCTTGTCTCCCACCAACAAGAGCGGGGTGGGGGCAGCGCCACTGCAGGGCTTGGCTGGCTGGGCACCCGAGCTGCCCCTCGTATTGGGGGCGAGGCCAGGGCTGGCTTGAGGCGTCCGGTCCAGGGTGG